TCAGAGATGAAACGATCAAAGATAGGATTGTTGGATACTTCGTCTCTCTCAGAGACAGTACCAGCGATATCACCGAACTCGTCGTACGAGGACTTAAGAAAAGATTGGTCCCGAATGGACTGATCTTGTAAGCGGCTCAGAACGGCGTTGGCGTTGATGGGCATGTCACTCGAGAGGAGAATTGGAAAGTGGTGTTTGTGAAGTGATTAAACGAAGTCGGTGACGAGGGAGTTTGTTGTATTGGTTGTGAATTTGGCGGCAAAGTTGTTGAGATGCGGAGAAGTTTACGCATTATACCTGATATTCGGTTAATCAATCAGGTTTTATTGAATCTCCTTATATAGTAAAATTTGAAGGCATTTTTTCGCCCGTCTTTACATCAAATCAACTTATCAAAGATAATGTTTGAGTTTTACTGTGCTCAAACTATTTACCTAAAAATTGCGTTTATATCGACCCCATCAGTGCGGTGACAGTCAGAGAAGAAAACTTGGACAGCACTCGGCGTGCAGGTCAGGTATTGACGTGATACTTTGGGGGTGTACCTACTTTCATCGTTTAGATGCTTGGACCTAGTTTCATGAGCACACGTCAACGCAATATCGCCGAAAGCAACGCGAGACTCAGCTATGATTTCGCGTACTAGGTAAATTGTCAGGAACACCAGTGAAGAACCAGGTAGTATCATAACAACTGATTGTATCAGTTATATAATTTGTGAGAGTACATCAAGTCAGACATCCTCTCATTGATCAGTACATCAATCTACAACCAAGTGATAAGTTATATTGTAATTCATATAGGTTATATACAATATACCTGCATCACTGATCATGATGATTATACCTACTGCTCCTAAGCTCTAATGCGACTCCTCATGGCGGCCTGACCGATACTGACCTCGCGAGCGTTTCGACTGATGGGTGGTCCTTTGTTGTGAGATGCCAGCCACCAAACAGCCCAGATCTCAATGTCTTGGATCTGGGTTTCTTTGCTTCCATCCAAACACTGCAGTACAAGTTGGTCAGTCGTTCACTGGGTCATGTCGTTCATGCAACATACGCAGCCTTTGAACTCAGCGATGGGGATACACTAGAAAAGGTGTTTCTCTCATTGCAAGCGGTCATGCGCCTGGTTCTGGAGAACAATGGCGGCAACCACTTCCGCTTGCCGCATTTGCGAAAGGTTGCGCTGCGTCATTCCAGGGCGCTCATGTCCAATGTCTCTCTCGATTAGGCGAAGAGGCCAGTCAGGATTTTGTCCAATAACACGGAAGTATTTGTTCTTGACCAATGGGATTGAAATGTCACAAGTAATTTGGAAAAAGTGTGATTTTGAAATGTCGGCACTAATTTGGAACAGAGGAAGTACTAACGTTAGTAGGGAAACTATGGGAAAACGATTAAGAAATCTGGACACCGTTCAGCCAAGACTGAAAACCGTTCAAGCAAATTTTCTCCCCATAACCCTGTAACCCCGGGACTTCGTCCTACCCCCGCGTACATATACATCGAAGTATAATGCTAAATCCCCAGGGTTAAGCGCATCACGAGTGGTTAGCTACTGTCCGTTTGGGCGGAACGAATGCATGATTTGTGACTCCCATAATTTTTGCCCTAGGAGGTATTTCCTCAATCCAAAGGTAACGTAGGGCACCAGTCATCGGCAAAGACACCAGTCATCAGCACTGTTCTAAGCCAATAGAAATGCCTGAATAACTCTTATTGTTCAAAATGTAGTTCTTCAAGAATTAGTGCTCCTTATAAATTAGAGGTTGGATTGGACCTGTCAATTTTGTGTTGATCATACAGAAATCGTTACTGTAGCAGTTAATACCCATTCTAAACACATATTCCTTTGATATCTAATATGATGACAGCATCCCGCGAACTAGAGCGTGGAGGATTCAATACATTACACAAGTCTAAAACGTGTGCCAATGACTGGTGCCCTACAAAAAACGCTACTTTTGAAAATCCTTAGGCCCTGTTCGGGCAACTTCACTGAACGATCAC